AGGTCGCCGTAGGTTGTAGGCTGTAGGGAGATTCGAACTGTAGACCTGTAAGGTAGGAGTCCAAGTAGAGTCCAGAGGCCTAGCTGTAGTCCTTGTAGAAGGTCGGCAAGTGGTCAAGTGGTGAGTCTAAGGTAGGCCCACGTTTTCAGACGAAGACAAGTGGCAAGGTCAACAGGTAGGACCTCAGTGCAACTGCACTGAGTCGACGGTACGACTGCCTACAGTCAGCAGAAGGGTCTAGAGAGTCCCAGTCCAGTCCAGCAAGTACCACAGGGGGACTGTGAGCACCAAGGGCCGATGGCAAAGGGCAGACCAACGAGTTTCTGAAGTATAAATCAAGAGGCAGCGCCCAGCCATGGGGTCATTCCTGCGTGAGCCATGCGGAAGCGCTGCCACAGCGACTTGTGCAAGGAGGTCTGCAGATGAGGCCGGAGGACGCAGTGGGCTAGAGAGAGGGAGTTAGCATAGCGATAGGGTAGATGCAGCGACAGCTGCCATAGCTGTAGTTAGTAGTGAGTGTGTGTGTGTGTGTTCGAGTGTTAGAGTGATGCGTGTGGGATATCCAGGGTGATCCAGTGTATGTGAACAGTGAGATGTTTGGGCGCTGAAGTCGCCATAGCCAATTGAGAGTGAACTCGTATCTGAAAGCCATACATCTGAGTTTTGAGTGGGCGCATTTCGCCAGTATGCTGCGTTGCTGTTTACATGCATGAAAAGTGTGTTTGAGAACGAGTCTGATTGCACCAGTACTATTCACGCAATTTGGTAGACAGTTGTTCTCAGTATCAGGCTATTATTAGCACTATTTTTCAGTACTCGCCTAGGCTATCAGAGTCGCAAGGGATCATTTGCCTGGTCGGGCCAAAAAAAAAAAAAAAAAAAAAAAAACTTTTTTAAATCTTATGTTTAATTTTAAATTTGGTAAAGAATTTCGATGTGACCCTGAGGCAAAGTTGTTCAGTTTATTTTTCAAAAATTTTCAGCATAACAGTGATAACACAGTTTTTTTTATCCTTTTTTGTTTTTTTGGCTGGGACCCTTCCTGGTCCTCTAACGGCTGGGATGCCCTCAAAAACAAGGTGATCCAGACGGCCTGGCTGGTAGCCCAGGCATTCACACAATTTGACGCAACGTACTCTTTCAGTTTGTTTGTTTGTTTGTTTTTTTTTTTTTTTTTTTTTTTTTTTTTTTTTTTAACCTTGTATATTATTGAAAAGATGAGAGGCCGGGGACCTCACAATTCCACCCGGATGTTATCCCGGCTCTTTCAGTGTTCGGTGTGTACTATTCGCACAATTTAACAGTTTTGTTCGGGCCTTGGAGCACAACACACGGGGAACAAAAAAAAAAAGACAAAGAAAAGACAAATCCTGTGCGTTTTTCCACAAAAGGGTGGAAATATTTGTTGCTATCAAGTTAGTATCAACAGTAAGGAATGAATCTGTCCACCTTCTGTGGGAAGATGCACTCGTTTTTTTCCTTGTTTGTGTGGTGTGCCAAGGTTCTTAGTTTTTCTTTCCGCTTTAGACGTAGGCTACCAGAGTGGCCCGAGACCACCACTCCGCCCATTCGTATGCGCGCCACGGTATCCCCATCGAGTCGGCTGAAAGTCTCCTCTGCCTCCAAGAGACGACCAAAAAAGTGGAATGGCACGACGCGCACTTCGGCCCCGGCCCTTCCCCGTGACGTTTCGGGCACTGAGTCACTCCGCCTTCGGGTGAGACTGCCGGTTTGCGGCGCGAGGGACAGCGCCCCCCCCCCCTCCCCCGCCACGCAGTTCTGTGTGACGGCGAATGTTTCTGGGCGCGGCGGGGGCGTCACGGGGGGACCGCTACTTTTTTTTAGGTGTGTATAGGGGAAAAAATGCAGGCTTTGTCTTCTCCTCATATGGGGGACAACCCCATTTTTTAACTATGCTGTTATCTTCTCTCAGTATTGTACCTCGCACTACCTAGTAGACCTACCAAAGGGATCTCAGGGTCTAAGTGAAGGCTCTAGGGCTGGAATCAATGTATGCACATTGCACACACAAGCTGGGTGTCCCTAACAATGATGGGTAGACACCGACACTCCTCCCGTATCTAAGCACCATAGCCTCAGGCCAACTATACTACAGTAACTACACCTTAAATCTACCAGCTACGCCCACCTAACTCTGTTCTGTGTGCGGAGCGGCACCCAAGATCCTAACACCTGGCACGGGGCTCGTGTGGAAAGCCAAACGCAACGTCCACATTGCTCCACAACCAGCCAAGAGGGACAAGCCGACTCTCTCAGCTGGTGATCCTGAAGCATGACACAGGGGGTCGTGGGGAACCGAAGGATGGCGTGGTGGGGAATTGAACTCGCGACCTCCTGCGCTCCACTTGTGTGCTCGACCAACTGAGGGGAACACTGGGTAATTCTGTTCGGGGGAACAGTAGGTTGGAGGAGCTGCGAAGGTGATGAGAGAGAGAGAGAGTGGGGTTGTTTGTAAAGGTGGTGTCTTTCTCCGCATGGGTTGCTCTGCTCACATTATTGACTTGAATGTCGACCTGTGCTGGGTTTCCTTGTTGTTGTTGTTGTTGTTGTTGTTGTTTTTACCTGTGTGCCGTCTCAAATCTTTTGATTGTTGGCTACTCCTTTTTTTGGGGGGGGCGGGGGGGCGGTCAACTTTCCGGTGTGATGTATGTGTGTGTATCTTTGTGCATTTGTGTGTGACTCCTTGCGCTGAAGGATCGGGCATCATTCTCGTATCGTGTGTAAGCGGTGCACAGCTGTCGAACTATGCGACATATCTGGTGAACAAGAAGATGGCTCCCCTCAGCATTGTGATGACGGCGCTGTCAACGGCGTCGGCGGTGTTTGTCACCCCTCTTCTCACACTCTTTCTTCTCGGCAAACGACTTCCTGTGAATGTGCCCGGAATGATCATTAATATTATTCAAATTGTGCTCGTTCCGATCGCGACTGGCCTCTTATTGAACAGGTGCGCTTCGACTCCTTGTGCCTTTTCTCCTCTAGAAAGGGACATAACTGAATTGGATTGGGATGGCTTGGGAACACATGTCGTTTTCACGTATGGAAGCGGGGGAAGTGGATGAGGGGGAATGGGGAAGAGAGAAGAGGACTAAAGGAGAGGGGAGAGAGAGAGAGAGAGAGAGAGAGAGAGAGAGAGAGAGAGAGAGAGAGAGAGAGAGAGAGCACAGAAGGTAAGGGAAGGTCGACAGGCAGAACTAGAAAGATATTGTCGATATTAGGGTCAGAGGGGGGGAGGGGGAGAACAGGACAAGGAGACGGCACAGAAGGACAGCGAGGTCTAAGCAGAGTGAGGAACGGAGGAACTAAAGTCCTGCGCCTCCCCCCCCCCGCCCCCCTTTTTCTCAAGATCGGCTTAGCTGCTTTTGACTCCAGGACTCTGATCATTACTTTGACTTTGACTTCAGGAATCTGGTCGATTTGGACATGTCAATTTGGACCCCTTGGATGTATGGCGTCAGAGTCCTGGAGTCAAAAGCAATGCTTTTAAAAGGCTCCGATTTGGACACGTCAATTTTGACCCCTTGGTTGGGGGGTAGAGTATTTTCACAAGGGGCTTGACTTTCACCCAATCCACTTCGCCTGTTGGGTAAAAAGCGTCGCCTTTGCTTTTGAAAGGTCATGGGTTCAATTCCCCTCCAGCCGAACTCGTGTGAGTTGTCATGAATCATCCTGCAATGAAAGGAACTGGTTACACATTGTAGGCCTCTTCAACTCTNTTTTTTTTTTTTTTTTGTTGTTGTTGTTGTTACGTCTCCGACGGTCCGACCTCTCAAATTGCAACATAAAAAATGCCAACTGCAGGACTCTGATCTTTTTTTTTTTTCCTTTCTTTCTTCATTTGTTTTTCCAAATAGCGACAGCCTTGAGGTCTCATGATCTAGCTGAGTGGGGGCCGAAGGTAACTCACAGCTATTTTACTCATTTATGCATCTGACTCTGTATTCTGTCAGGATTCCAACTCAGCTCTTTCCAGCGCTGCTAGCACGGGAGGGTGCTCAAAAAAAAAAAAAAGAAAAAAAAAAGGGTCTGTTTATCGACAGTTCATGGGTGTACCGTCCAACTGATTCTTAACAGGAGTCTGATTTATATTATGATGACATACCTCTGATGATCATTTTGAAGCTTGACCAGTCTGATCATCGCCGATGCATGGCGTCTTTGATTTATGTCCCTTTTTTCTTTTGCAGATTTGCAGCCCGGGTAACCAAGTTGATTAGGCCGTTCCTGCCCCTCATGTCGGCCGCCGTTACGGCGCTGTGTGTCGGGAGCCCATTGTCTGTGAACATCAACGCTCTGCGCTCGCCATTCGGTTTGACCATCCTCCTCCCAATCGTGCTCTTCCACTGCTTGGCACACTTTTGCGGCTTTTATCTCGCCGGTGAGGTTTTTGCAAACGACAAAGAGAGAACGGGAATTATGCGCACAATTTCATTTGTCACAGGTATGAAGTACTATGAACACCCTCTTCCGTTCTTTTTGTTTTTTCCCTCCCCCCTTTCTCCCTCTTTCTTCCTCTTTCTCCCCTTGCTCCTCCTCTCTCAACTTTGTCTTGAACTCGGAAGATGCAACGAACAGAGCCCTGTTTTTTTTTTTTTTTTTTTTGAATCCCATATCACATGCAAATCTCTCTGTGGCGGTCTGTGGGTCAATCGGCCGGTTGGTTGGGGATAGTCTGTCATTCGGACAGTTGGACAGTCGGTCAGTCAGTTGGTGGCTTGGTTGGCCAGTCGGTAGGTGCTTCGCCTGCCCGCCTGCCCGCCTGCCTGCCGGTTGCCTTTGCCTGCCTCTTTCTGTCTGTATTCACCTGTCTGTTTCTACATGTTGTCTGTCTGTCTGTCTGTCTGTCTGTTTCCACATTTTGTCTGTCTGTCTGTCTGCCCGTCTTATTCTGTCTGTCTCATGCGGTGACATTCACATGCATGTGTCGTGTGATGTGTGTAATGTTCGCATCGCCACACCACTCACGAAATGAAAAAGACAAAAATGTGGCGGGTGCATCTGGCCATTTTCTAGCGGTAAGTTCATTCTCATTTTGCACATTTCGAGAGTGGTGTGGCGATGCCGTGTCTCTGACTCACTCACTCGCTGCCACCTCTGGCGATGTCTTTGCTGGTTTGGAATTTGTTTTTTTTTTTTTGTTGAAAGAGTGCGGCCGTGTCAGGGTTCAGAGTTTCAAAAGGCAAAAAAAAACTCGTGTCAGCAGGTTTGTCGTGGTGTGAGTTTCGGATGGGCAAAAAAAAAAAAAAAAACATGAAACGCCTTCGGACGCTGGACCCGTTCTCCAGCATAGTGGTGTCCTTTTCAAATGGAAAGATTTGTAAAAAAGAGGGACGCTGGACCTGATTTCCAGCAGGTGTTGCTCCCCACCAATAGATGGAGCCTCCCCGAGCATGTTAGGGGCTCGCCACACTACCTGTCGAAAGTGCAATTTTCGACAGTCCGAGTCGCCACACCACCTGTCGAACAAAAAAATGTCGACACATCTTCGACACCTGTCAGAAGTCGGCATTCGATGGCTCCTTTCGAATTCAAGGTCTCGCCCACCTGTCACAAGCCCTTTTCCGAAAGGACTTCGGTGGGTTGTTGAAAAACGGCGCGTCGGGGCCATTTTTTCTCTACCGAGGAGATCTGACCGCCCCAACGCGGATGTCGTCTTCTGTTCGACAGCGCCCTTTCGAAACAGGGGAACTGTCGAACGTGCCCATAGTCTTTCGCTGGTCCCAAGGAACGCAGCGTGGCACACCATGCGGACATCGGCGGAGAGCACGCGGGCGGGGTGGAGGGGGGAGCACAGCGTTTTTTTTTTTTCTTTTTTTTTTTTTTTTTTTTTTTTTTTTTTTTTTTTTTTTTTTTTTTCGTGAGGGACATCGATTACATGGGGCGCTGCACGAAGCATATCTGGCCGTACTTCATCAGTGATGAACGGCCAGATAGGGACGGTGGGGGTATGCGCCTGGTACGGTGTTGGTGGGGGGAAGTACGATGCGCATCGATGCTGTTCCGCGCAAAAATGAACGGCTGGATAGTGCCGTGCGTGCGCCCGGCAGGGAACAGCACGGTGGCGGGCGAAGGGGGGCGGAGCTTCTTTGCCTGGCTCCACGACTCAACAGTGGGGGTATGCATCTGGACTACTTCTTCCCCACGTGCATTCAAACTGACGCGCCATTCTGGATGCATCGGGATCACTTCGTTGTCCCTAATACTCCCTATACATGTAGAAATTTGTGGGAGCGACTCCCCCACTCGGACAGACCGTTTTAGCAGGTACAGGTACATCTCGACCGGGCGGGCGCATGGACCTGCGCACCTTTGCGCTCGGCCTCCGCGTCAGCAGGTGCACAAAATTCCCGCAGCACAGGTGCCAGGAACCAGCGGGTACCACCGTCGATGCCTTCGACAGCCTCCCGTTGCCGCCACACAGCCCTGTCGAACGGCCACCAGGTCCATCTCATCTCGAAAGTATACTGTCGAATACTTGCTGTGTGGCCAAGGGGGGGGGTTCTTTCGAAACTCGAACTTTCGAGTTTCGACAGACAACTTTCGAAAAAAGGCGGTTTCGACAGCTGGTGTGGCGAGCCCCTTAGTGGTGTCTGCTCTTATCAGCACCCCTAACATTCACTCAGGTTGTCTTTGGTTAAACCACCAGTACTCCCTAAAGTCGTGCCCGTTAACGCGCCACGATTTTAGGAAACGTACGGGACACTACAGGAGCGCCCAAATTGATCCAACTAGAAACGTTTCTACTCTATTTTTTTCCGCCGCCTATAGCTGGGCCAAGTATTAGTGGTTTAAAAAAAAAATAAAAAATAAAAAAGGTGGGAGGGGGGGGGGGCGACTGGGGGGGGGGGGGAGGAGGAGGAGCCAGGGCAGAGGGGCTTAAAAAAATTTGAAAATACAAATTCCTTTCTGGGTTTTACTGGAGCCGAAGTCTGTTGATTGTTACGCTAATTTTGTTCTCTCTCTTATCAGTTGTAGCCTGTTTGGCATGTGGTGGTGGTGTTTTTTTTTTTTTTTTTTTTTTTTTTTTTTTTTAACTTTTTTTCCTTCCGTTTGGCATGTAATTACGAATTATTAATTTGTTAGCTTCTTTTTTTTATGCCACTTTTGAAAGTCTTTTCGCTTCACAAATTCATCTTGGATTGCAACTTGCAAGTGATTCGCTATGCACACGATTATGAGATGAATGTTGAAAAAAAATAAAAAATTCTGACTGTCACCTCTTATCTTTCACACCGGCTTTTTCCTCTGTTGTGGTGGCAGGAATGCAGAGTAGTCTTCTTGGCCTTGCGCTTGCGAATCGGTTCTTTGAAGACCCATTAGTGGGGCTACCATGCGCAATTTCGGTATGTTCCTAATTTAGTAAGTTAGTAATTTACTAGGCTACCAGAGTGGCCTGGGACCACTTGCGCGGCCGGACGAAAAATAAATAAAAAAATGAAAATAATTTTAATTTGTTTTTTTATTTTAAATTTGGTAAAGAATTTCGATGTGACCCTGAGGCAAAAGTTGTTCAGTTTATTTTTCTGCATTCGTTTTTTTTTCTGTTTTTTTTTTTGCTAGGACCTTCCTGGTCCTTGCGCGGCTGGGCCGCCTTGGAAAATAGGGTGACCCGGGCGGCTCGGCTGGTAGCCCAGCTAATTTAGTAATTTCCTAGGGTACCAGAATGGCCCGGGACCACTTGCCCATCTGGGCCAAACAAAATTAAAAAAAATAAAAATAAAATAATCATTTTTAAACTTTGTTTTTTTCTTTAAAGTTTAAAATTTGGTAAGGAATTTCGATGTGACCCTGAGGCAAATGTTGTTCAATTTATTTTTTTGCACAACCTCATTTTTTTTCAGGTTTTTTTTTTTTTTTTTTTTTTGCTGGGACATTCTTTGGCCCTTGCACGGCCGGGCCACCTGGGCAAACAAGGTGATCCGGGCGGCCCGGCTGGTACCCTAGGTAATTTCCCATTTTACTTCACCTGTCTGACACGACATGGCTTTCTTTTTCTTCTTCCTCTTCCTTGTTGCCTCTACCCAACCGGCCACCATTTTTCGACTAATCTAGCCTTCTCCGTCCCTCGGGACAAATAAAGGGGTGGTACAGGAATATTCGCCTGTTGTCCATCGACTGCGCCTTTCGGCCTAGGATTTTTTTGACTAATGGGTACGGACTCACCACATCGCCCTGAGTTAGCGATACCCATCCCTGAGAGATATGTGAGGATTGAGCCCTCAAAAGGGGCCTTGCCGTGATGTACATGTTCTGGGCCAAGGCCCCCAGCAAGGCTAGTGCCCGCCCTAAGTGAAGGCGGGCCAGCAAATCAACGAGAGGCCTTTTTGCGACATTTCACGAGGTGGGATCCAGACAGTTGCCGTACGCCAGTTGGTTGGAGTGCACCGAGTACCAGATCCCTGCAAATGCAGTAGGACCAGGGCCTCAGAATTGGTTAGGCCCTGGGCACATAAACGTGAGGCCGACATTGCATGTTGGATATAGAGGCCGAAAATGCCAGTGGGAAACGGGCCCACTATCAGAATCTGGACGAAGGCCTTGATGAAAGAGGCACAACTGTACGGCCTGGGCCCTTATCTGCATGGGGTCTGGGCACAGCCACCGGGACCCAGGCACAGGCTGAAAGGAGGCCGCCCTCGGACTGCTTGGGATATAGGCAGAGCATGCGGCTGGGCAGGGATCTTGGCCATTGCGAGCAATGCCGGTACGCTGAAGCACTGCGAGGTGCTGCGCTGCGCTAGGCTGAGGTGAAGGCAGGCTGGCGCTAAGCAGTAGGGCGCAGCCTGGGCGCAGGGCGCTGGCAGGGAGAGTGACGTACCTGGTGGAGAGGACGTCGGCATTGGTGTTGACGCCATCACTCGCTGGTCGTCAAGTTGTCTGGTTGCTTCCATGCTGTAGTTGTAGTGTTAGGCTGTAGAGCAGATAGGGCGCCTGACGCCATTCAAGAGGGAGAGCTACATTGGGTTATGCTGTTGGTGTTGCCCGATTGGGCTTGGACATTGACTCACGATTCTTCTGTATCGTTCTCAAATGGATGGTTACTCGTTTCCATTGTGCTATCTGCTCTTGCTTTGACTACTTGGACTTTGGTGTGATTTTGCAATTTAGATTTCTGTGCTTCGTCCACATTCATGTTCCTTGCAATTTGGTATCAGAGCTGGTTCGATTCGCTGCTTACCTTGGTGCGCTGGCATTATACAGACTTGGTGCGTTGATGGTGCTTCTTCGCAGTTGGTTCTTGTGACGTCAGGCCATATTAGGCGCACGACCTGGGTAGAGAGGTGTGCGCCGGAAGGCTGTATGGCTTGGGATGCCGTGGTGACGGCGGAATGTATGATTGGTGATGAGAGCATGCTGATGTGGCATTTGGCTGAGGTGGCACTGCATTGCGTTGTGGGTGGTACCGAGGCTATGACCGGTCATCAAATGCACACTCAGCTCAATTGGTGAGAAATCTGTGGTTGGGGGCAGCTATCTCCAGGTACGTTGTTCCCTTACCTTATCTACTCTCTCAATCTCTTCTTACCGCGAGGAAGTGAGTCCAACTTGAGAGTCCTCTCTTTTGGTGAGGTGT